CTCAGCAAGGGCATGAGAGATAAAATTAAAGTAAGAGGGGGTTGAAGAGGTCAATGTGTCAACAATTTTGTTACCAATTGCAGGTTATTCTTGTTACAAGTTTCTTATATTAGATCACTGAACATCTGTCTATCACTTACTTTTCAAACTGTTGCTTGTGAATCTTGTTCCATTTATTAGCTAACAACATAAAAACAAAGTATTGGAAATTTTTTCATCAAATTGAATGCTTGTTATAAACATGTATCGACTCATTCAGAATTATGAACAACATCCAGTGAAAAGAAGTTCAAAGCTGAAAAAAGGTTTGTTTTTATTGAAACCAGGAAGCTCACCTGGAGTTTTATTTGTTTCTGCTGCTGACTCTTTACCAAGGAACTGAACAAATCGGGGGATTTTACATTCTGCAGGCACTAAAATGTTATAGAAAAAGGTTCACTCATAACACAATTTATGACATAACGATGCAGCACTCTTAGCTCTGATTCTTTTCAAATTCATGATTTTGCAAATTAAATCATATAATGGTCACAAGAAGGCAATCTACTATAACACTGTGAAATGTAGTCAGTAACTCAGCTTCTCCTGGTATGATTCACTTATTTATTACATCCTAATAAACTTTAATGAAATCTTTCTATAATTGCAAATCATGATAATACCAGTTTAGGATATATAAAATTAAAAATATTATGCCATTGATTTAAGGTGCAAAGTTGCATACAGTCATGTGCTGTCAAAACTCTTGTAACAAACAGTTCTGTAAGCAAACAGCTTACAGAAGACCAGCCTGAGACCAGCTCACCAAAATTTGTTTTTCTTTTTCATCAACCAAGATTTATTATTAGACTCTTTCTTAGCAGCCAGCTGCAAGCACCAAAATATAATTATCCTCTTCAATTTAACCTGGGTGTCTGTTGATTTGGAACACGAACTGTAAAGACTGTGGATGTTTCAATGTTAGGCTTACTTTTTTCCTCAACTTTCTTATCAAGTTGATCCATTAGCTCTCTCTTGAAGCTATCATCGTCATTATCACTTTCATGATTGAAATCTGTTGTTTCTGGATCTTTAGCTGCTTCTTCTATCTCGGTGCAGTCAGCTGTTTGTGATTCTTTTCCTTGCTCAACTAAAGAACTACAAAGGGAGAAAATCATTAGCTCAGCCTCTGTATAACACTTCAAAACAGACCGTCTTCACAAATAAGAGTTTTTTCCCCCCTTACAATCTGGTTTCCTAAAAATGATTCATTCCATCACTTTGAAAGCATGCAAATAATCATATCTCAAAGAACATCTACTTACTCTTCTGCTGCGCCAGTAATCTTTAATGCATATATCTTTAGTTCTTCAATAAGCTGAGAAGTCTGAAATGTTTTGCACGATGTTAATAAGTGACAAAAGTTGCGAGCAATATGACTCTGTGTGATCTAAGTATTGAGAAATTCACCGTATTATCACAAATGAATGAACATATTAATTTTGTAGGTCTGTTATATGGAGAATAGCACGCAAAACGGACAAAACAGTCATCCAGAATTATAATTTCAAATTGTGTTACTCGAAGCAGAAAGACAGAAAGCAATCTCTCTTCATAAACAGGTGTCTCGTCTTGACAGATTTGTTAAAGGAAAAGCTCACATATAATATAATTAAAACCGCTTTAATGATCGAGTTCAGGAGTCAAAACGTCAAAATATATATTTGGTTCAAAAAGGAAAACATCATTCTTCAATGTTCAAGTGATCAGGAGGTAGACACCTCCACAAATTGTCATCTTTTCAACTCTTCAGTGGAAAATTTGCGGCCCCGTAATTTTGCCTGCATAATTGGACCATCGATCTGTTATGTCGCATGCTGCATATTATTTGAAACTGAGAGGAACTGCGTGCGTAATTGTCTTTAGGTCAATTTCCAGAACACAATAAATGTTGCATGCTTGCACGCTTACCTTGCTGTTGGCTCTAATTCCCACGCTCTTACAGAGCTTTTGAAGCTCAGCGCGCTTCATTCCCTCAAGCCCATTTGCGTCAAAAGTTACAGCCATCGTGACACAAAATACTGAAAGGCTTCCAACCCAACTACTGATCCTGATTAGATCTCTTTTTATACAGTTTCAAGCTCTTTCTGTTCAAAACAAACAGCTTACTGCGTCGATTGGCGGTGGTCGCACTTCATCGAACGTTTGATCACCCACAGCTGAAGTTTGAAATGGACCCCTTACTCTTGATTGGCCAGTTCCTCAGAACGCGAACGACTGGGAGCAAGTTCTTAGAGATATGGTACTCAGTCCCCACACGTCTTTGAGCAGTGCCTCGTACATTTCAAGCTAGATGTCTCCTGCGGCGTAGGAAGGCACCCAAAATATTGTTTATGTTCGGATAATTTTAATCTAATCAATATTTACACAGAAGCCGACAATACAATACTTGAGATATTCATGTTTACAAGGGAAGTAAGGTGCTTATGCGTAGCATTGACTCAAATTCTCAAGGACAGAAACTCACAACGATTCGCACGCGAGCGATCGAACGTTCCATGCCACGGATCAACAAATGCCAAGTGCTATTGGTATGTGCAATAGCTTGCAATTGTGTCATCTTATTCTACATTTCTCATGTACAAAACACAAACGGGGAGTGGCTAGAACAAAGCAAATTAAAGGCAATTAAGGAGAAAATTTCCTTTCTGGGAAACAAAGCTACGCAATTTGAAAATGAAGTGACTTTTGTCTTGTTGGAGTTTGAAAACTTTGAGAATGACATTAGTCGAACAATTCGTTCCATTTTGGAGTACTTCCCAAACGTTCATATTGTGCTGATATCACTTAAACGACCGTATCCGCCATTAGATATTCCGAATGGCAAAATTCAATTGGTTGTGCAAGACTTGTCCCCCGATCAAAAGCAATCGGCTGGAAGACCCGAGAATTATATCACAACGCCATACGTCATGTTCATGCCAGATAGTGTCCGATTCAGCTCTTCAAGTTTGCCAGTTATGATGCTTGAAGAGCTTAAAGCTTTGGCTGGTGTGAAACCTCAATATAAAATTGTTACAGTGCCAGTGAAATCAAAAGAAACTATACAGTGCAACAAACTTTCATTTGACCTTAAACGTTGGACATTAGAGTACTCAGTTTCCGAAGATGAAGCACAGAGCTATTACCGAACTTGTGATTCTGTTGGCCCCAGTCAAGTGGTTTTGGTAAAAGCTGCATTCCTTCACAGCCTTAGTGCACCATACTTACGACCTTTTCCTGAAAGTCTCTTCATTCAAGCTTCGCTGCACCATATAAAAACAAAACTTCTCCACAAGGTTTCTTTCTCACAAGGATCCATGCTCTTTTCAAATGCTCACACAAAATGGAAATATGAGAATAATTTCAAAACAAGAAGAAATGACATGTACAGAAAACTAGGGGTCAAGAAAGTTGTTCTTCCATCAGGAGAAGTGGAGTGGTATGGCTGTGGCAAGAATACAGGACGGTGCTTTGGCACTGTTTTTGATGATATGCCTGAATATCTTTATACGTCAAGGTGGACACCACCCTGTTGTTTGGAAAATCTGCGTCAAACTGCACGTTATCTTTTCAACGTTCTTAAAGAAGCTGGTGTAAGTTATTGGTTGGAGGGAGGTAGTTTGTTGGGTGCTGCTCGATATGGTGACATCATTCCATGGGATTATGATGTAGATATTGGTATTTATCAGCATGAAATCAACAAGTGCTCATATCTGGTCGAAGCAGAAAAGCTCTCAAATTCTAGAAAACCATATGTTGACAGTGAAGGCTACACTTGGGAGAAAGCTTCTGAAGGAGAATTTTTTCGAATCCAGTTTAGTCAGTATAATCACTTACATGTGGACATTTTCCCATTCTATGAAAAAGATGGCACCATGACCAAGAAAACCTGGTTTGAAACTCACAGACAAGATAGAGAATTTCCTGCTCATTATTTGAAGCCTCTAGGAACAATTGATTTCATTGGAATGAAAGCATCTGCTCCAAACAATGTCAGAGAATTTCTGGAATTCAAGTTTGGTAAAGGTGTTATTGAAAATCCTCAATATCCAAACCCATCAAAACTAAAAAAAAAGTCAAAGGTTTAGAGTTGATCCCTTATTAAATGTTAGGAATGTATTTTATGAATGAAATCACTATATTTTCACCAGTTAAGCTGCTTTTTGTTTTTAGTTTCTCACTCTTTGTGGGGGAAGGGACAAACTAACTCCAAGTGGCTTTGAGATGCCATGTCCTGAGGATATTTTTTCAGGGGGTGAATGTCACAAAGTATTTTGTATAGACTGTTTATAATCTTTAATGTAAACCCAAAAGATTATACAGCAAATAAATGCTAAAATTTTGAAATGGGCAAGTGAGTTCCTAGTTAACTCACATTTCATTCGCTTGCCATCTTCTCCATCAACCTTGTCAGTGACTGACAGGTATTATTTTCCTGTGATCATCATCAGTGGCCCCTCCTTGTCATGTTTTACTACAGAGAAAAAATTGTAATGATAAAATGAGTGTTTTTTTCTTTTTGATGATTGCATGGAGTGTTACTCTTTGGCAACAGGTGCTCTTCTCATTTGTAACCTTTCAATGTATATTAAGATTTTGAAAATTTTCTAAAAGAGAAGTATAAATCTCTAAATGTATTTAATATGTGGCATATTTTTGAGAAATTGGAATAGATATAAACATCGATAAAGAATAAATGATCAGTCTACCATTCCAGTTTGTTTATTGCAATGGCTATACATTCTATTTTAATCCAAATTCCTCTGCAAATTTTTTATTTACCGGGCAATTTATTTTTGTCAGACCTGGAGGAAATTCTCCATATTTTGCCCTCTTCCCTTGCCACTTTATTTTTCAATGAAAACTCTGGGAACCAGAGAAAAACACTTCAAGGGAGCTGTGTCATGATTCTCTGAGTGAATATTTGCACTTGGTAGTCATTGAACTGGCTTTTATTATTGGTGCATTAGTAAAAGTATTTCTTCGCCCACCAGAAAGTATGAACCCTTGTAAATGGTGAGCTGGCAAAATGTGAGGCTCCAATGAGGAGGGTCTGCTTAAATTCAATGCACTTGCTAAAATTACCTTCAACTTAACCTTTTAACACCCAAGATCTCATTAGTGATTCTCCTTACTGTCTGCTACACAATTTATGTGATTTTAGTTTGGAGAATTTGGAATTGGATCAACCAATAATCCCCTAATTGATATTTTTCTTTATTCTCATTACTTCTCTACTTGATACTGTATTAATAGTGTAAGGAGAAATTCTGTCCAGGTCACTAGTGGAACTTACAGGGTTAAAAGAAGCCCATGAAATATTGGGCTGAGTTTGGTTAAAAAAGGAAAAATACCCTAAAGAGAAAATTGTAAGCCAAGAGGGTTCTTGGATAGCTAGGAATGAGAAGGTTGATATAGACTGAAAATGATGCAGCAACTTGAAAAGTGAAAAGGTAAAATTTCTTAAGAAGTAAAAAACCTAACCTAGCTCTTTGACTGTGTATGCTATCAAAAATGATGTTTTATTTTGATTTCTGCCAAGTGTGAAGAGAACAAATGTTCTTAAAAACACCTTCAACTAAAAAGTTAATGGTAGTTGTAAATGGCAGTATAGAGTCAATGTATGGATAAAATGTGTGCGGGTAAATGTTATACAAAAATGCCTGATTTTTTTTTATTAACCCTTTAACTCCCAGAGGTGATTAACATAAAACTTCTCCCTACAATATTCATACATTCTTCAGCAAACAGGTAATCAGAATATTCAAACTTATCATGTAGAAGCTGCTATCTTGATCTAGCACCAAGTTCTCATAACTAATTTACAAGGAAATGTGTAGCAGCTACAGGGGAGAATTAACAATCAGATCTTGGGAGTTAAAGGGTTAAAAATTCTTGTCGATAGCATTTATCGCCTTTAGTTGGGTTAAGTTTGCCATGAGCTTAACCCTTTACCTTTTAGAAGTATTAACATGTAACTTCTCAATACAATATTCATACATTTTCAAGCAAACAGAGAGTGAGAATTATTAAACTTCTCTGGTAGAGGTTTCTATCTTGAGTTAACACAAATTTCTCATAACTGATTTACAAGGAAATGTGTAGCAGCTAGAAGGGAGAATCAACATTCACATCTTGATTGTTAAAGGGTAATGGCATTTCCAAGCAGAGCTTATCCTGGTTTCCATCACATTAAGTTACTATGAGCATTTTCACTTCCCCTGAGGGGATATCAGACCATCACAGTTCATTTTATCAGGTCTCTCTGATAGCTTACTGGCACCCTTGTACACTCCTGTATGGGGAGAGGAACTTTGAAACTGTGAGTGTATAGTGTCTTGCTTATGAACAATTAATGACCCTGAATAGGAATTGCAGCCTGATCTTTTATATGGGGAGTCCAGTGCTCAGTTGTTCAAAGATAGATTGAGATAACCCAGCGTTAGTGTGAAATTTGATTTCAGATCTGAAAGTCTTAAAAGAAAAATCAGTATAATTCTTTTTGACCATAATTTGATTATTTGATGCTCTTGGAAAAAAGGATTAAAGAAGCCGCTATTTAAATTTAACCCTGGGTTAGCACTTATCTGGGCAGCTTTGAACAACTGGGTCCATCACACTCATGATCATTAGGCTGGCATATTTCTAACCCTCAGGAACCAACCAGCAAATAACTCGGGAAGAGCACAAAAAAA